GACAAAGTAGACAAGACACTTCCTGGAAGTATGTTTAGTTGATGTGTTGTGTTTACCTGACAAAGTAGACAAGACACTTCCTGGAGGAATAAATTGTTGATGTGTTGTGTTTACCTGACAAAGTAGACAAGACACTTCCTGGAGGAATAAATTGTTGATGTGATGTGTTTACGACAAAGTAGACAAGACACTTCCTGGAAGTATGTTTAGTTGATGTGTTGTGTTTACCTGACAAAGTAGACAAGACACTTCCTGGAGGAATAAATTGTTGATGTGTTGTGTTTACCTGACAAAGTAGACAAGACACTTCCTGGAGGAATAAATTGTTGATGTGTTGTGTTTACCTGACAAAGTAGACAAGACACTTCCTGGAGGAATAAATTGTTGATGTGTTGTGTTTACCTGACAAAGTAGACAAGACACTTCCTGGAAATATGTTTAGTTGATGTGTTGTGTTTACCTGACAAGACAGTTGATGTTGATGTGTTGTGTTTACCTGACAAAGTAGACAAGACACTTCCTGGAAGTATGTTTAGTTGATGTGTTGTGTTTACCTGACAAAGTAGACAAGACACTTCCTGGAAGTATGTTTAGTTGATGTGTTGTGTTTACCTGACAAAGTAGACAAGACACTTCCTGGAGGAATAAATTGTTGATGTGTTGTGTTTACCTGACAAAGTAGACAAGACACTTCCTGGAAGTATGTTTAGTTGATGTGTTGTGTTTACCTGACAAAGTAGACAAGACACTTCCTGGAGGAATAAATTGTTGATGTGTTGTGTTTACCTGACAAAGTAGACAAGACAATTCCTGGAAGTATGTTTAGTTGATGTGTTGTGTTTACCTGACAAAGTAGACAAGACACTTCCTGGAGGAATAAATTGTTGATGTGTTGTGTTTACCTGACAAAGTAGACAAGACACTTCCTGGAGGAATAAATTGTTGATGTGTTGTGTTTACCTGACAAAGTAGACAAGACACTTCCTGGAAATATGTTTAGTTGATGTGTTGTGTTTACCTGACAAGACACTTCCTGGAAGTATGTTTAGTTGATGTGTTGTGTTTACCTGACAAAGTAGACAAGACACTTCCTGGAAGTATGTTTAGTTGATGTGTTGTGTTTACCTGACAAAGTAGACAAGACACTTCCTGGAGGAATAAATTGTTGATGTGTTGTGTTTACCTGACAAAGTAGACAAGACACTTCCTGGAAGTATGTTTAGTTGATGTGTTGTGTTTACCTGACAAAGTAGACAAGACACTTCCTGGAGGAATAAATTGTTGATGTGTTGTGTTTACCTGACAAAGTAGACAAGACACTTCCTGGAGGAATAAATTGTTGATGTGTTGTGTTTACCTGACAAAGTAGACAAGACACTTCCTGGAAGTATGTTAAGTTGACGTGTTGTGTTTACCTGACAAAGTAGACAAGACACTTCCTGGAGGAATAAATTGTTGATGTGTTGTGTTTACCTGACAAAGTAGACAAGACACTTCCTGGAGGAATAAATTGTTGATGTGTTGTGTTTACCTGACAAAGTAGACAAGACACTTCCTGGAGGAATAAATTGTTGATGTGATGTGTTTACCTGACAAAGTAGACAAGACACTTCCTGGAAATATGTTTAGTTGATGTGTTGTGTTTACCTGACAAGACACTTCCTGAAAGTATGTTTAGTTGATGTGTTGTGTTTACCTGACAAAGTAGACAAGACACTTCCTGGAAGTATGTTTAGTTGATGTGTTGTGTTTACCTGACAAAGTAGACAAGACACTTCCTGGAGGAATAAATTGTTGATGTGTTGTGTTTACCTGACAAAGTAGACAAGACACTTCCTGGAAGTATGTTTAGTTGATGTGTTGTGTTTACCTGACAAAGTACGAAGACAAGACACTTCCTGGAGGAATAAATTGTTGATGTGTTGTGTTTACCTGACAAAGTAGACAAGACACTTCCTGGAAGTATGTTTAGTTGATGTGTTGTGTTTACCTGACAAAGTAGACAAGACACTTCCTGGAAGTATGTTTAGTTGATGTGTTGTGTTTACCTGACAAAGTAGACAAGACACTTCCTGGAGGAATAAATTGTTGATGTGTTGTGTTTACCTGACAAAGTAGACAAGACACTTCCTGGAAGTATGTTTAGTTGATGTGTTGTGTTTACCTGACAAAGTAGACAAGACACTTCCTGGAGGAATAAATTGTTGATGTGTTGTGTTTACCTGACAAAGTAGACAAGACACTTCCTGGAAGTATGTTTAGTTGATGTGTTGTGTTTACCTGACAAAGTAGACAAGACACTTCCTGGAGGAATAAATTGTTGATGTGTTGTGTTTACCTGACAAAGTAGACAAGACACTTCCTGGAAGTATGTTTAGTTGATGTGTTGTGTTTACCTGACAAAGTAGACAAGACACTTCCTGGAGGAATAAATTGTTGATGTGTTGTGTTTACCTGACAAAGTAGACAAGACACTTCCTGGAAGTATGTTTAGTTGATGTGTTGTGTTTACCTGACAAAGTAGACAAGACACTTCCTGGAGGAATAAATTGTTGATGTGTTGTGTTTACCTGACAAAGTAGACAAGACACTTCCTGGAATTATGTTTAGTTGATGTGTTGTGTTTACCTGACAAAGTAGTTTGTGTTTACCTGACAAACAAGACACTTCCTGGAATTATGTTTAGTTGATGTGTTGTGTTTACCTGACAAAGTAGACAAGACACTTCCTGGAAGTATGTTTAGTTGATGTGTTGTGTTTACCTGACAAAGTAGACAAGACACTTCCTGGAGGAATAAATTGTTGATGTGTTGTGTGTTTACCTGACAAAGTAGACAAGACACTTCCTGGAATATGTTTAGTTGATGTGTTGTGTTTACCTGACAAAGTAGACAAGACACTTCCTGGAGGAATAAATTGTTGATGTGTTGTGTTTACCTGACAAAGTAGACAAGACACTTCCTGGAAGTATGTTTAGTTGATGTGTTGTGTTTACCTGACAAAGTAGACAAGACACTTCCTGGAGGAATAAATTGTTGATGTGATGTGTTTACCTGACAAAGTAGACAAGACACTTCCTGGAGGAATAAATTGTTGATGTGTTGTGTTTACCTGACAAAGTAGACAAGACACTTCCTGGAAGTATGTTTAGTTGATGTGTTGTGTTTACCTGACAAAGTAGACAAGACACTTCCTGGAAGTATGTTTAGTTGATGTGTTGTGTTTACCTGACAAAGTAGACAAGACACTTCCTGGAGGAATAAATTGTTGATGTGTTGTGTTTACCTGACAAAGTAGACAAGACACTTCCTGGAAGTATGTTTAGTTGATGTGTTGTGTTTACCTGACAAAGTAGACAAGACACTTCCTGGAATTATGTTTAGTTGATGTGTTGTGTTTACCTGACAAAGTAGACAAGACACTTCCTGGAGGAATAAATTGTTGATGTGTTGTGTTTACCTGACAAAGTAGACAAGACACTTCCTGGAATTATGTTTAGTTGATGTGTTGTGTTTACCTGACAAAGTAGACAAGACACTTCCTGGAAGTATGTTTAGTTGATGTGTTGTGTTTACCTGACAAAGTAGACAAGACACTTCCTGGAAGTATGTTTAGTTGATGTGTTGTGTTTACCTGACAAAGTAGACAAGACACTTCCTGGAAGTATGTTTAGTTGATGTGTTGTGTTTACCTGACAAAGTAGACAAGACACTTCCTGGAGGAATAAATTGTTGATGTGTTGTGTTTACCTGACAAAGTAGACAAGACACTTCCTGGAAGTATGTTTAGTTGATGTGTTGTGTTTACCTGACAAAGTAGACAAGACACTTCCTGGAGGAATAAATTGTTGATGTGTTGTGTTTACCTGACAAAGTAGACAAGACACTTCCTGGAAGTAAATAGTTGATGTGTTGTGTTTACCTGACAAAGTAGACAAGACACTTCCTGGAGGAATAAATTGTTGATGTGTTGTGTTTACCTGACAAAGTAGACAAGACACTTCCTGGAGGAATAAATTGTTGATGTGTTGTGTTTACCTGACAAAGTAGACAAGACACTTCCTGGAATTATGTTTAGTTGATGTGTTGTGTTTACCTGACAAAGTAGACAAGACACTTCCTGGAGGAATAAATTGTTGATGTGTTGTGTTTACCTGACAAAGTAGACAAGACACTTCCTGGAATTATGTTTAGTTGATGTGTTGTGTTTACCTGACAAAGTAGACAAGACACTTCCTGGAAGTATGTTTAGTTGATGTGTTGTGTTTACCTGACAAAGTAGACAAGACACTTCCTGGAAGTATAAATTGTTGATGTGTTGTGTTTACCTGACAAAGTAGACAAGACACTTCCTGGAAGTATGTTTAGTTGATGTGTTGTGTTTACCTGACAAAGTAGACAAGACACTTCCTGGAGGAATAAATTGTTGATGTGTTGTGTTTACCTGACAAAGTAGACAAGACACTTCCTGGAAGTATGTTTAGTTGATGTGTTGTGTTTACCTGACAAAGTAGACAAGACACTTCCTGGAGGAATAAATTGTTGATGTGATGTGTTTACCTGACAAAGTAGACAAGACACTTCCTGGAAGTATGTTTAGTTGATGTGTTGTGTTTACCTGACAAAGTAGACAAGACACTTCCTGGAGGAATAAATTGTTGATGTGTTGTGTTTACCTGACAAAGTAGACAAGACACTTCCTTGAGGAATAAATTGTTGATGTGTTGTGTTTACCTGACAAAGTAGACAAGACACTTCCTGGAAGTATGTTTAGTTGATGTGTTGTGTTTACCTGACAAAGTAGACAAGACACTTCCTGGAGGAATAAATTGTTGATGTGTTGTGTTTACCTGACAAAGTAGACAAGACACTTCCTGGAAGTATGTTTAGTTGATGTGTTGTGTTTACCTGACAAAGTAGACAAGACACTTCCTGGAGGAATAAATTGTTGATGTGATGTGTTTACCTGACAAAGTAGACAAGACACTTCCTGGAATTATGTTAAGTTGGTGTGATGTGTTTACGACATTCGCTTGGGGGCCTGTATCGCTGATCGTGGCACACCTCCCATCCGCCGTCACTAAGTTTACCCAGACGGTTGATGTTTCTACACAGCACACCGACATTATCCACAAACCTGATATATAAGGTAAATTATTAGAGCGTAACATAGACAGACGTCAAGAGAAAGCATTCTGTTCATTTGTTCCATTACATTTTTCGATTTGGAACAAAAGCTCGAAAACTATATATACTTTTTTTTAAATTAAGGGAAAAAGACAGGTGCTCTGTTTGATAGACACTGTCGGTAGTAAACATCTGTTTGATACGCTATGGAGTGTTAGCTGTCATTCCGACAAGCGAGAGAGGATGCTTTCCTGCGATACCGATAGGTGAGAGAAGGAGTATCTGTGATACAGACAGGTGAAAGAGGAGAGGTACCTGAGATACGGACAAGTGAGAGAGAAGGGCTACCTGTGATACAGACAGGTGAGACAGAAGGGTTACCTTTAATACAGACAGGTGAAAGAGGGGGGTTACCTTTGATACAGACAGGTGAAAGAGGAGGGTTACCTGTGATACATACAGGTGAGAGAGAAGGGTTACCTTTGATACAGACAGGTGAGCCAGGAGGGTTACCTTTGATACAGACAGGTGAAAGAGGAGGGTTACCTGTTATATATGTAGGGTATCCCAATCACAACAGGTACACACAGGTGAAAAGAAAGTAAGTAGAGGAGTGTCATCCTTTTTTTGTGGTACAGACAGGTGAGAAAGGATTGTTACACCTTATACCGAAAGAGAGGGGTAACTTGTGAAACAGACAGGTGTGTGAAGCGAATTACCCGTGTCACAGACAGGTGAGTGAGGACTGGTACCTTTGATCTGTGGTAGAAACATGGGAAAGAGTAGGGTTACCTGGGATACAGAGTGGTTACTCAGGGGTGTTACCTGTGATATATTGTGGCTTATTTGTGGCTGAAACAAGGGTGAGAGGATGGTTACTTGTGATGCAGACAGGTGAGAGAGGAGTCTTACCCATGGTGACACATGGGAAAGAGGAGGGTTAACTTAAATGCAGACAGGTATTAGAAGAGGGTCACATGTGATACAGCTGAGAGAAGTGTGTTACCTATGAGCACAGGTAAATGCCAGGGCAGAATGCATTCGTGACCAACCCGTGTTATTCCGGGGCAAGCCGAATAGCGACAAATGCCCCTCTGGAAGGATTTGATATTTTGGTGCATGAATATTAAAACAACTGCAAACAAGAACGATAACTCTATTCCTCTTTGATTCCAATGGTACTCACTATCACCGAAGCACTAGTACATTGTATTACTCTCTTTTTTTCTATATTTCTTTTAAAGAATTGAACCAGGTTCATACAAGTAAGAGAAGAAGAAATAAATATTTGTTAAACACATATATTTTCAGGTACATTAACCCATTCAACACCGCAGGCCGAATAATCGGCCACAACGTTATGAGTCCCCAGACACCGGAGGCCGATTAATCGGCCAGGCAGTAGTCACGTCAAAATGAGACATAATTTTAGGAACCTACCTGACTTTTGATTCATATATCAAATCTATCACATTTCACAATGTCTGAAAACACTTATTAAATTTCAGTTTATCATATATTACCAGCAGAATTAAAATTATAAACTATTTTTCGCAATGTTATTGAAAACAACGATTCTCGGACACATGCTTCGGCAGCGGACCCACAATAACATTGTCAAAGAGCAAAGTAACGATGTTTCGAGGAAATTATTAAATAAATTGAATAAACTAATGAATAAAATCAACAACAGCATTCATAAAAGTTGTCAAACGTACATATAAAATTACTATTTCCATCTTTTTTGTGCGATCATGTAATGCAAGTCAAGTCACTGACAAGTGACATCTCGGCTCTCGCCGCCTCAATCTTCACGTTCGGACACGATGTTTAATGCGAAAATACATACATGAAGCATTTTTGTCACAGGTCATAACCTAGCACGATACGTCCAATAAGTTCCATAATTTACGTATAGGTAGCGATTTCTTGCTTAATATGTTCAGAATAGCATTATTTTACCCAAAACTTTTGTCCAAATGTTAAAGTTTTCGTTTACGAGGACGGTATCCATTGCCGTAATATGATTGGCTACCTTAGGTCACGTGTCTGATTTTGATCAATCACGGCCCCCAATAGCAGACTGTGGCGAAAAAGCGTCATTGGAAACCAATCTTTATCCAATAAAATCGCTTCTTACAACTGTGAAAATACTCTTGGCAAGGGTACAGTGATATTGATGAACATAGAGATTTTTTCTGGGTTACATCTTTTTATTCTCGAGTACAACGTTTCAGGGCTTGTTCTGGCCCCATCATCAGGTAAACTGAACAGTAACTGTTAACTCTGGCCGTGACGTCACAATGCTTATGACGTCACAATGCTATGACGACGCAATACATGTGGTGGTCAATAGATACAGATGACATGGCTCATACAAAATTGTTGATTGATTTAGAAATGTACAGAGCATAGAAATAACCGTGTGTTGTCGCTGTGCCGAGTTTATTTGAGCGAGACGATATGAAAACTGCATACATTCGTCTAAAATGTACGTCAAACAGCATCGGCGTTACTCACAATGTTCAAAATCCACACTGTAAAAGTTCATTCATTTCCCGTTATGTCTATGTAAATATTTTATGGCATTGGATTCATTATGCGTAAGAAATAGCTCGTAAAAAATGTAGAATATGTATTTTTTACAGAATTTCCACGGCAGCCATTTTTTGTGCATTGCGCATCGGGTCATTCGGGCGTCTCGTTAGATTGTAAATTTGCAGTAATAAACAAAACGAAAACATGTTATGGAAGCTCGTTTGATTCACAATTACCATGTTGAAAATGAAATATGTAGCGGAAATAAAGCCAGCGAAATCGTCGATTACAAATTCGTTGAAGTTTGTATGACGCCATTTGGCCCGTAAATTGGTTACACTGCAACGTTTTCCCATGGATGTCTTGTCGGAAAACGCTTATAAATGGAAAAACTGTTCGTGATATATGAATGAAATCTTATACCTGAAATCTGCAGTTAATTGCCTTCGTTATCATATAAAATTTGACGTAAAACATAATCTGAAAGATCAGTATTTACGTTTTTCATGAAGAGGGAAACGAATCAACAACTCAGAATCTAAACTGAACACACTGCTGGATTTTTTTCGGTGCAGTAAATCTATATTCTGAGCGGCCATTATTCACTTGAATGTTTAAAAAGGGTATTTCATCAAATGTTGAAACAATCATGCCCCCATGAATAGTTTTCTTTTACTTCTTTGGCACCCACAAGCATTTATTACGGTCCCTGTCAAGTCGTTGCTCAAAACACTCCTACCGTGCGATGGCGGACACGTCGACGAAATTTGCATACAGACGAATGAAAGAGTTAGTCTCGTATCTACATGAATAGTGAAAGACGTGTTTATATTTTCATTTTCATTTAAAACCATTATGGTAAACACAAGTAGAAATGTCACAACAAATAGAAAATTACTTGAAGCAGAAATACTCAGAAAGAGCTATTGTCTTGTCGACAGCTTTGCATATTTAAAAATGTCGCCGACAATGTTCAGCGGTGTGTCGGAATTCGGATTTACTTTATTTGGTCCTGTAGTGTTTTATTCAGTTCGACAGCAACCGAGAAGGTAAGTGCCAGAACCTTATGTCGTAATCGTGGGGTAAATGTGAGGGATTTGGCTGGGTAATGCATGGAATCTGCCATACTGTGGTACTTTGTACACGATAAACGCAGTGACCTCAACGTTCTAGACGTTATGCTTAGGTTAGGTTTCCAGTTTTCAATTCCCGTCACTTTGTGTTGCTATCATGCAGTAAGAAAGGCATACATCGCAATGTTATTGTATTACCTGATATGTGTGCAGTCAATTTGATTTAATTGTGAGTTGGTATTTCGTGAATGTTGAAAATTTGGTCGAAATGAAGATCTGAGTCTGAACCGTGTGAAACATTTTGTTGATATATTTCTTTCAATCCATGGTCGTGTTGTGACCTGTTTATGTCCATCGTACACTTAGTTGACATGGTGACATCATTTCAGCGGGCAATATCAAATTAAATTATTGTTTAACTATGCATACGTGTTAATGTTTAAATGATTTGATAGGAATTACACGAAAGTTTACGCGCCTGAAAAAACGGGCGTGAAAATAGTTCGCCGCGAATTAGATGTCTTCTCTTAGGTCCGCGCCTGCTCGTGACATTTACCGCACAAATTGATTTGGGTTACGTTATTTCAGTTTCAAAAGTGACATTTAGATAGGTTATGATAAAACTGATGAAAACCAATAACTATTACTGAGTATTTGTTTTAAAAAAAAAATCACAAATTCGAATGCGTATATCAGTGAGTAAAGATTTATACAAAATTTCACCTTTATTAATCCCACAACAAGCCATGTGTATTAGTAGTTATGTATTATGGAAATAGTTATAAGGCAATAAAAAACATTTCAGTCATAACAAGAAATTGGTATCAAAGGTTACAAGTGCTCATATCTTAGACACTCCATGAAAGAAGACTAAAATTCTGTGAAATTATTTTAAGAAATTGTATTAATCCACTATATATAAATAAACCTGTCATCACCTATATTAATACAAAATAAAGGTAATACAGTACTTTCATTTACACTTGTTAATAGTTATTGTATATTGAAACGTCACAATCTCCTTCCAAGCATCCAGTGAATGTTTCAACATTAGTGTCAGTTAAATCAGGTTATGGTTTTGTTATGATTATCTGTGACCACCTTAACTGTATTTATTCCTATTCCTGTATATAAATTGTTATATTCTTGTGCACTTTTGAACCATAATACAAACATGAATAATCAGATAAATTGGAATATATTGTTATCATTGACTTCTTTTACTTCATATGAGTATATGTTTCAAACATGAAATGTAATTAGGGTAGTTATATTACTTGTTAAATTACAGATAAAAACATTTCATTACTGAACAAGGAATTAGTAATTGAGGGTGTTCCAGACTCCTGGTTTTTGAGTAATTTGAAACTTTGCATGAGGTTGTTATTCAAATGTAAGT